AAAAAAAAAAAAAAAAACGAATGGAACAGTAAACTGCGAACCGTAAAAACGCATAAAAAAAAAAGAAAAAAAAAAGAAAAGAGAGAGATATTATTGTTTTTTTTTTTCTTTTTTTTTTCTTTTTTTCTTAATCCATCTTCAGTGCCGCCAACAGTGAGGCGAGCCACTGATCCCGTTCCTGTTGTGTTCTTGCAGCAAACATGATGGACTGTGAGTTTTGTGTGGAGATGGCGAAGGCGTACTGCAGCAGTATTGGCTGAGCCCCGCCACTTCCCTCCACCTGCACAGGCGTGTCGAACAAAACGGGGGCCACGGCGTTAATAGTTTCCAGTGGGACTTTTTTACTCCGCTCGCCGGAGCCCGCCGCGGCTTTTCCCTTCGCGAGTGTCATGGTTAAATATCCATCGCCGAGGAGAAGATAGCGTTCCTTCCATTGACCGGCCACGGACTCTTTATAGACCACACTCTCCATACGTGGCGCCGCACTTGTGGAAAGTTCCCGCTCTGTCTCTAAACTAATCACCTCTTCACCTTCCAGTATTCCTCTTAACACCAATGCCTCCTCCTCCATGGAAAGACAATAGTTAGGGGTGGAGTGTGTAAATTCAGCGAGACAGGTTTGGTACTTTTTCTCCAATTCATCATCCATGGCAATCATATGTTCTACACGTTTGCGAAATAAACATAGATAATGCTGCATTAATGGTGTTTTAAGTAATTGTGAGGCACTTGGTCGCTTTTCAGGATCTTGCTGCAAAATAAGTTCCAAAAACTCTCGCATCTCTTTAGACACATAACATACTTTTTTATTATTCACATCAGATTTATTTTCTCCCTCTCCCTCTCCAGGTAACGGATGCTTTCCATCCGGATACGTTGGTGGAAGCCACATTCTACCAGAGAGCACAAGTTCTTTCATTTGCGGTAGAGAATCGGCTTCGAAGGGTCGTCGTTTTCCCAAGAGTTCACATAGAACAATACCAGAAGCCCAAATGTCTGCTTTTTTACCATATCGTTGTCCTTTCCACATTTCAGGAGATAAATAATAACTGGTACCCAAGAAAGTACAAGCAATCGGGTTAGAAACTGTACTATCATACTGCTGTGAAAAACCAAAGTCTCCAAGTTTTAAAAAACCACGACTAGTTAAAAATATATTTGCTGTTTTAATATCCCGGTGTATCATACGACGACGATGAATATGATCAAGACCAAGGAGTAGTTGTACAAAATACATTCCAACATCTCTTTCAGAAAGGAAGGAATCCTTGTCTCGCCGGTACAAATTGCGGTACAAGTCACCTTGATCAGCAAATTCAGTAATAATTACAATAGTTTCATCTTCATCATCGACAATAAAATGTTCATAATACTGAATTATTGCAAAGTGATGATTACAAGCAAGACACATAATCTCTGTTTGAGCATAACGTCTATCATTCGGTGACATGGATGTTAAATCCATTACTTTAGCCACAAAAAGACGTGGTTCACTATCTCCAGCACGACGTTTTTCTCTAAAGACTTCTTTTTCATCTGTTGTTTCTCGTCTCTTAGGTAACGGATATGCTGGATTACGTTCAACAATATAAGCTTCACCAAATGCACCTTTTCCAATACTGTTTTTCTTTCGGTATCGCGCTGTCGTACTGTCTTCTGGCCCTAAAACATCTTCCAGTGCCACCGATACGGTGTGGTTTCCGCCTTTCCCATCATCCATCTCATTGATTGGAATAGGTCGCTGGTCATCACCGCCATTGCTGTTGAGTTGCGTGATGTCTGAAGAATGCAGTCCAGTGATATCTGTAGATTTATCAGGAAGCGCTGTGCCTTTATGGATGCCACTCTTTTCCTTCGTGACGACATTGCCCATGTTGACAAGAGAGAGAAGATGTGATAGATTTACTTAACTCGTAATATATAGAAACGTCTTTCTTCTCACTATGGTCCTCTTGGTTTACCTTACCTAGACACAGGTATCTGACGTCTCTGTTTTTTTTTTTTTTTTGTTTTCTGTTTCTTTTATTTCTTTTTTCTTTTTTTTTCCTTTGTTTTCTCCTTTTCTGTTGGGTTTTATTCCTGTTTCAATAAATGAATCCACTCCAATGTGCTTCTGCCGTCTCTGAATAGGTGAAAGACCCTTAAAATGCCCACGTTGTGAGTAAATGGGCAGAGCAGAAACGATCTGTGAGTGGATTTAATGCACCCCAAACAAGAGAAAATAACAAAAAGAAAGAAAGAAAAAAAAGAAAAAAAAGGACGTTGATAAACCAAATAAATAAATAAATGACAATAAAGAGATAAAAGAACAGATTTGATATAGACCTCACTCTCTGTTGGTCACATTATTAAATACCAGAATAAAAAAAAAAAAAGAAAATCACACATTCAGATATTTCCACAAACGCAAATATGACGCACAAAAAAAAAAAAAAAAAAAAAAAAAACACCATGGTTCCCCTATGAAAAATAAGACAAACAGTCTTCTTTAATATAGCTTTTAAGGTGAGAAGTTACTGTTTCTCATTTCATATTCGAACTTCAAACTCCTGTAGGTAAACACAAAAAGGAAACACAAACGATAGAAACATATTGGGTCCTCGTACGACAAAAACAAAAAAAAAAAAAAGATACCCACACCCACACATACACACACACCTACTCTGGAATGATAATTTTTTTTTTCTCTTTCTTTTGTTTTCCTTTTTTATCTGTCTCTGTAGTCACAGATAAATACAGGCTGTAGGTAAGAATATAATCCAGCAAATATTACAAATCGCTACGCAAGTACGGTGTCTCCGTCTTCTTCAGAAGTTTCTCCGCATGTTTCCAGTTCACCACATTCCAGAAGGTCTGCACATACGCGGCGCGGTCGTTCTTATAGTCAATGTAGTATGCATGTTCCCACACATCGCAGGCGATCAGTGGCTTCAAGTGTGGCTCCGTGAGTGGACAGCCGGCATCGTGTGTTTGATAGACCTTCAACTTCCCCGATGCGGTGTCCTTTACGAGCCACGCCCAGCCGGAGCCGAAGTGCCCCACCGCCGCGTTTGTGAATTCCTCCTTGAACTTTGCAAAGCTGCCAAAGGAGGCGTTGATCTCCTCTGCGAGTTTTCCCTTCGGCTCACCACCGCCGTTGGGGCACATGCTTTCCCAGTAGAATGTGTGATTGAAGATCTGCGCGGCGAGGTTAAACACGGGGCCTTTCTCTGTTTTGATGATCTCCTCCACTGACTTGCGCCGCAGTGCGGCGTTTGACTGCGCGGCGGCGTTGAGCTTCGTGACGTATCCCTGATGGTGTTTATCGTAGTGGAATGTTACCTGTTCCTTTGAGATGCCTTTGCTGGCAAGTCCATCATAACCCCAGGGAAGTGGTGGAATGCTGAACGTCATCTTTTCTTTTTTTCTTTTTATTATTATTATTACTATTATATTTATTTTCTTAGGTTGTTACTACCAAATATGTGTTGTTTGTAGGTGTTTTTCCCCACCTATCAAGAAATAAAAGGATGCTGTAAAGACGCTTGGAATTTCACTAGGTGAATGTATATAAAGATTTTAAAAAAAGGGAAAAGAAAGAAAACAAATTAGGTTTCACTATTAATTCTCATATAACTATAGATATATTCTTATATAAACACATCGCCCCAAGCAATACACATGGTTTGTGTAATTGAAGAGAAAAAAAAAGAACCACACCGCAAATAGCTAGATTGCGCCACTCCTATACAAATTATTCGCATAGGCCATTTCAATATGCACAAGCAGAGATGTGGCAGCTGACTCTGCGATATCAGTAATCTGTTTCGTTTAACTGGTTTCATCCTAGTACATCAAGAGGAGAATAACGAAAAGAAGGAGCGATGGGGGGGGGGGAGGTGGAAAAAAAAAGAAAATAAAAAAAAAACAATATCCATATCGCCACATGTGAATATATTAAGGAGAAGCATGCTTCTCACTCTACCTCTCTCTCTATCTCTCTCTCTCTCTCTCTCTCTCTCTCTCTCTCTCTCTCTCTCTCAGAGAGTTCACCTCTCCCCTTTACACTTCTCTCTCCCAAATTTCTCACTGCACTAGACTGCTTCAATTTTCCTCTGAGTTTTTCTTTTTTTTTCGTTTTGATTTATCTTCTGTTTTCTTTTTTTATGCTTTCCGTTCCATCCCTTTTTTTTTGCCTTTTCTCTCTCTTTATTCTTCTCTCCTTCTCTCTCTTTGCTTTATTGACTATACTCCAACTATTTCTATGGATTTTGGGAATACCATTGTACAGACCACAGAGAAGAGAGTGAGAAAAGGCAAAAACACTGAAAGTAGAAAAAAAAAAAAAAAAAACACAAGAGAAACAAAACAAAACAAAGAAACGAACACATCCTTACAAATAATGAACGTCGATTATGATCTTTTTCTTCAGCCACAAAAAAAAAGAAAATATTTTAATAGAAAAACCTCTTTCACAGTAAACAAAAGAAACGAAAAACGCTGAAAGAGATGGAAAAGGTAAACAAAAAAAAGTCTTCATATTTCCAAATGAGTTCAAAACCACCTTTTCAGTGAACCGAAACACTCTATGGGGCCGCAGTCGCTGCCTCTTCCTTCTTTTCTCCTTCCTTCTTTTCTCCTTCCTTGATGAATCCAAGCACGTGTGTTATAAAATCCTCATTCTTTGGATTCTTTCTGTAATTCACTGCTGTTCCTATGGATGCCTCGAAAAGCTGCACAACGTTCGTCCCGTCAGCAGCAGAAACATAGTGTAGCGGGAGATTATGTTTATCTACAAATGCAAAGGCCTTTGACATCACGGACGGGTCTGTATCTATCTTGTTGGCGGCCACAATACAAGGGATGTGCTCACGATAGTTGCGTAACTCACCAAGCCACTTTTCCAGATTCTTGTATGTGGCCTTGCGTGTGATATCAAATACCAAAATACACGCATGCGCATTATGGTAGTAGGCAGGATGCATGGTGGAAAACCGTTCCTGTCCTGCAGTATCCCAAATATCAACATCCACCTGCTCATCATTCTCGTCAATGAAGTCATAGTGAAATAGTGTGAGGGCATAGGTTGACATCTGCACAGGAACATAACGCTGCATTAAGAACCGCTCCACCAGCTTTGACTTTCCCACCGCACTGTCGCCAAGAAGAATGAGTTTCACAGGATTGCGAGTCTCATCCGGCTTGTTATCCAGTACTTTTTTTATTTTTATTGACATCTATTGTATATATATATATGTATATATATACTTTACACTCTACTGTCTGAAATGTCGTTGCCTTATTTTTTTTTTATTTGTTTACTTTTCTTTTTCTTTTTTTTCTGTGGGTGTGGATACAGGGATATCGCTTGGAATGGTGTATACAATCAAAATATCTTATTGTTTTCTTTATTTAAAATGATCCTTCTCTACTAGCTGATAATATATATACAGCCAGAATAGACGCACTCCAAAAAACAAGAAAACCAAAAAAAAAGGAGGAAAAAAAAGGATTCGGTTCAAGAAAAAAAAAAAAAAACAACGCCAAACAAACTCCGTGTGGACAACATCTTCTTTAATATTGATTTGAATTCATAAGCAACAAGTACCACCACACAGTGTTATTATTTCTTTTTTTTCCATTATCCTCAAGAAGGAAACAAATAAAATTTGAGGCATATATATATATATATATATATATATATGCAACGATAAATAATAACGAATACAAAAAAATAAAATAAAAATAATAGCCGGTAATTTTCCAGTCCTAATAAAATTCCCATTCGTACCCATGTGAAGTTTCATCACATTACTCTCCTTCTCAAAAGAGCGCAAATGTTTCACCTAAAATAAATAATAATAATAATAATAATAATAATAATAATAATAATAATAAATTGTCGTTATTTAATAAATTTAATCTTCTATATTCCCTTCATAGGGAACTTCATTGGTGGAGAAAGCGCTGGCAATGGTGCCTGTGACTCATTCACACGTTTACGCATAGTGTTTAGTCCTTCCCGCTTCTCCTTATCCTCCATACCTCTATCCTCCACACGTGTCTCCTTCGCCAGCATATCCTTCTCCACCACTGCGGCTTCCGTAGTTATCATCATACCGGCCACTGAACAGGCATTTACTACCGCTGACTTCACAACTTTCATTGGATCTACAATACCAGCCGTAAACATATTCACATACTCACCAGTTTGTGCATTATATCCATAAGTTGGATCATTCTTTTTCATAATTTTTCCAACCACAACACTTCCTTCTACACCAGCGTTACTAGCGATACAACGGGCAGGCAGACGAATGGCTTTTTTTACAATATTTACACCTGTACGAATATCTGGAGGTAAACTACGATCTTTTGTAATGCTGTCTAGACGTACAGAAGCGATAAGAAGTGCTGTACCGCCGCCTGCTAGAATACCTTCTGCCACTGCTGCACGTGTAGCGTTGAGTGCATCTACAATACGATCTTTTTTTTCATTTATTTCAACTTCAGAGGCGCCGCCAACTTTTATAACAGCAACACCACCTGATAATTTCGCCAGACGCTCCACAAGTCGTTCACGATTGTATTCATGGTCCTCAGCAGCAATCATATCTCGTATCATCTGTACACGTTCTTCTACCGCAATAGCACTTCCACCACCCTCCATTAGAATACATTCATCACGGGATATAGTCGCCTTCTTGCAAGAACCGAGAAAACGATCAGAGAAGTCATTGTGATCAAGATTGAGCCCAAGATCTTCGGAAATCATTTGTGCTCCCGTAAAGACAGCTATATCCTGTAATTGATTAATTCGCATATCACCAAAACCAGGTGCCTTTACAGAACATCCCCCAATTCGTCCCTGCATTTTATTATATAAAAAGGTATGCATTGCTTCTCCCTCTAAATCTTCTGATATAACCAGCAGAGGCCGCTTCTGTTGAATAGCATAGTTAAGAGCAGGTAGTATATGTGAAACACTTGATAATTTACGATTAGCCACAAATACTAATGCATTCTCCAACTCACACTTCTGCGATTTTGTATTGGTTACAAAGTATGGTGAGGTAAATCCTCTTTCAAATGACATTCCCTCCACCAGTTCAAGTTCAGTGTTAAGTGAACGACCCTCTTGTGTGGTAATAACACCATCTTTTCCCACCTGTTGCATTGCATCTCCAATAAGAGCCCCAATCTCTTCATCCATGTTTGCTGAAATCATGGCGACTTGTGTAATCTCTGATTTGGAAGTTACCGGTTTCGCCTGCTCCGCTAATGAGACCAGCACCTCACGGCATGCAAGATCAATACCACGTTTTAAATCCATTGGATTCGTTCCAGTCGCCACACTGCGAAATCCCTCACGGAAAATAGCACCAGAAAGAATAGTGGCAGTTGTTGTCCCATCGCCGGCGCTGTCATTTGTGAGTCCCGCCACCTGCCGTACGAGATTGGCACCCAAATTCTCAAAACTGTTTTCAAACTCAATGTGTTTTGCAACTGTGACGCCGTCCTTTGTGATCTTTGGACCGGCGTACGGCATCTCCAGCACCACGTTGCGTCCCTTTGGCCCTAAAGTCACCCCAACGGCCTTCACGAGATTCTCCACGCCGAGAAGTAACGCCTTGCGGGCCTCCATGCCGTAGCGAATATCCTTCGGTGTGGAGCCGTACTGCATACGCCGCACCAGTGTGTACTGCAGCATTGGAAATTATATATATTTATATAGATATGTATATATATATATATATATATATATATAATGGATTATTCTTTCTCTTTCTCTCTTATTCTCTCTATATGTGTGTGTGTGAGCTTTCTTTTGTTTCTATTGTTGTTTGTGGTTACTTTACACTCGTTATTGAGATGGGATGATGTATGTAATGAATCCAATTGCAAAACTATGGGAGGTAAAAGAAGAAGCAAAGAGAGAAAAATAAAAGGAAGAATTTTTTATTTTTATTTTTTATTTTTTGCAATCCATATAAGAAAATAATTAAAAGAGAAAAATAGCAATATATATATTATATATATAGGTAACGATAACAAGTTGAAAATGAAAACCATCTATGAGATATTTCTGATGGTTAGGTCGATACCGTAAATCACACACTACTGCTGGTGTCTAACTCAAAAATGAACACCCCCAATAAAATAACCATCAATATATATATATATTTGTAATTATTTACGGGGGTTTCGCATATTCAATAAGAAATAAATAAATCACTTGTAAAACGCTAAAAGCATAATGGGATTAGATATGTATGACGCTCCAAATGTAAAATAAAACCTTCCGTGGGGTGGTTGTAACTCAATACTCCAACGTCCTTTGGCTCGGTGCTCTACTTTCACTCCATTATTATTCGCATGACTATGTTTAGTAATATTACTACTAGTAGGAGTGATCCCATCCCTAAGATGAGATGAATGATCATTTTTATCAGAAGTGTCAAATGATATAGATTGCGGTGTTGGATGAAGACGTAACCCAATAGCATAACACGTAAAGGAGGGATTTTCAGCTGCCATTACAGACCATGCATGACTTTCACGGAGTTTCCCTACTTTCTCTGATAAAACAGACAAGGCGTAGTGTGATTGCCGTTCATTTAACCTCGTATCACATACAGTATGGATGGGATCAACAAGGAAGAAATCAGAACTACATGATTCTTGCGTAAGACTTGAACAGAATCTATTTACACTATGTGATTCAGGAATATCGGCATGAGATGCAAGTATTGGATACCCTGATGAAAAGCCTCCTCCTGTTAATGTGTAACCATCTACAGTAGGACATATCAGGGAAACAACATCAAGAGAACTTTCTCGTAAAGACTTACGTTTTTCTCGTAATTCCTCGAATTTATCTTTATTATATTTCCCTTCCAATTCTAGTTGTGTTACCTCTTCAATTAAACCTCTATACATCTCTGTACGTTGGGTAAGTATATGTACTTCTTCTTCTGTCATATGATCTGTGAGGGAAACCATAGACACCACAACATCATAGACATCATCCGGATCTACCAATGTGAGTACTTGTAAGAGAACAGCCGCGTTATCTTCTATTGGATCCTGCTGCACCACCCACGCATTGCGATCCACATCGTAAAAGGAACACAATATCCCTGTAGCTCCATATATACGTACACCAGCAGAGAGTACTTTATGTCCCTCAGGAATAGGAAGATAAAATAAACGGGCAGTACTTTTCTTTGTTAGGGTGTGATAAAAACGACCACCGAGTGGTGTAGACATATCACTACATTCAAGTTTTCTTTTCTTTTTTTTTTAGTTAAATGAACTCGCCAGTCGTACGGAATTTGTAATCGCTTCACGTACCTCTTTTTCCCAAGAAAAGAAATGGTGAAAAGAAAAAAAAGAAAAAGACAAAGATAGGTAGATAGATAATAAAAACAAATGAAAAAGAGTGAGAGAAGGAAAAATTGAATAGATATACTATTGATTTGAACAAACAGTCATTAATCATGATTCTCATTAAATATATGCACAAGTTACAGGAAACAAAAAAAAAAAAAAGAAAGGTCACTTGAAAGTATATACAATAAAAAACGATAAGAGTTAATAAGACTTTTTTTAATAAAACTAAAACTAAAAAATAAAATAAATCAATAAATCAACAAGCACAGTACACGAAGAAAATAAAAAATGCCTCAGCATCTCTCACGATAAATGAAAAAGAAAAAAGAATAAGCAGCGAAAAAAAAAAAAAAAAATTCTTTTTGTTTTTTTCTGCTTGTTTCTCATTGATAGCGATGAAACAAAGGAAAAAAAAAGAAGCACTGGAAAAAAAAAATTCTTTTTTTTTTCTCATTTTTTTTTTTTTCCTTTTTCCTACATCTTCCATAACTTGCGGGTCAACTCCCTCTCCACTTGTATTAAATAACGAGCTCCATCTTGGCGACTATAGGCAGAAGGCCCTGTTATCTGATCTGCGTTTCCTAATCTGATTTTACCCATTTGGCTCCAGGAGTCTTCACGATCTGCACGTTCCTTTTCTTGTACACACAGTGGTCGCTTATCCGTAATCAATGCATGAAAGGCTTCAGCAGAAATAGACTCTGAAGTTGGAGGGATCGTATCACAGAGATCATTTAACGAAGAATATTTAAACGGGAGAAAGTACGAAACTGGGGGTGTCATTAGGGGAAATGTATGCATTCTTACATCATCATGTTCAGATTCTTTTACTTTGGTATTCATATTTGGTTTTAAACTATTTATTCTTTCTCTTTCTTCTAACATGTTTGACTGCTCGTCCTTCAACGGTTGTGTGAGAATTAAATCACTTTGTACGGCTTGTGTGCGTTTAGCATGTGATTCCGCAAAGAGTTGATGTGCTGCTTGCATCACAAAATCTCTTGAAGGATTATAACTATTACTTATTTTCGTACTACCATTCCTGTTTGAAATGATCATATCATCTTTTATCTTCGGATTCTTACATATCGTCTCCCCAAAATCCTTCTTCGCCGTATTGGGAGTGGTTGTCCCGTATATAAATGCCCCTACAGGCGATGTGGAAAACTTATCACTCATATCATAACATGGCCGCATGTGATGAAGTTCATCTTCCAATGTCTCAATCCGTCGAGTATATTCGTTGAGCAAATCTCGTGAGTGTTGCAGTTCCTTTGCAGTGCGAAATGCATCACTCTCGGCGTTTTCCATTTGCTGTGCTATTCGCCGGCGAACTGCAGGCACTCGTGGAACTTCACGTGCTCTCTGAATACGTAGCCGTTGCCGCTCCGCCTCACATTGTGAGAGAACATTACGCACAGAAACACCGGCAATTCCCAAAAATGTACGTAATATATCTGCCACCTGCCATGCGTGTGCCTTTGAGTGTAATTCCTCCACTTTCTCTATGGCCACCTGCTTGGCATCCGGCGTGGCTTCCGGGCAAATCACCTCTAAAAGAAAACGCATAATGTGCGGTGTAATAAATTCGGTGTTAAAGTACTGAATGTATTCCTCCGCTAATGCTTCCATAGCCTTCACCGCCTGTGGAAGTGTAACGTCCTCTACCAGACCAATAATACTTTGTGGCTCGTTCATCAACTCTTTTCTTTTTTCTTTTTTTTCGTTATGGTGGTGGTGGTGGTAATAATTGTGAACAAATATCTTCTTAATAGTATTTCCTTTTTTTTTTTTCTTTCTTTACTCGTTCTTCCCGTCCTTTTACTCTTTACACAAGTGAGAGGGTGGGGGGAAAAAAAATCACAAAGAAAAAAAAATGCTCTTAAAAGGACCTGAAGCAAAAAAAAAAAAAAATAGCAAGAGCGACAACTGTAAAACAAAAAAAAAAAACACTTTAGTAATTTCATAAAATGCCAACATTCGGCCCTGTTCTCACTCTTCCACATCAGTCAAGTAAAGCAGAGTCAACAGAAAAACTTCACCATTACTCAATACAAAAACACAAAACCATACACAGCAGATCCAGAAAAGCAAAATAAGATCAACGTGAAGAGGATTTATCACCTACCAAACGTAATAGGGAAGCGGCAAATAAAAAGAAAAGTAAGACATATTCAACACTGCGGAAGAAAAAAAAAATGATCAAACAGAAGGAGAAGAGTATAATCAACATCCTGCAAATTGGTTTAACGTAAAACTTTACCATATGGAGATACGGGTACACTTCACCTAGATGGGTGGCTTGGGAAATGGTGGAGGAACAACGTTGAAGGACTTTGTTGCTTTCGTTGTGTGAAGATTACCTCCAACTGCCGCTCCTCTCAGTCTTGTCTGCTGTTCCGTGTGATCTGCTGCAGACATCTTAGGTGGTTGCGGAAAAGACATCATTTCTCCACCAATAGAAGCCGAAGAAGCCACTTCGCCACCTGACCGACCAATACTAGAAAGGTCTTCATTCATCCCTGTTAGATGTTCCATTTCCAGTGTACATTCTCCATGATGTTCATGGCTATGATCATGATCATGATCATGCCCCTCACCGTTATGATGAACATGAGAATGAGAATGAGCATGAGAATGAGAATGAGAGTGATGATGATGATGCGCAGATGAGGAGTACGAGTCATTTCCGCTATTTTCATCATCATCATCATCCTCATCATCTTGGGTTGTACGTGCCTCCACAAAGACGTGAGTTGCAATACCAGCGAGAATAGACCGGGCGGCTGCAGAGACCGCGGCGGGATCTGCATCTGAAGTGATACGCAATCTTACAAGTGCCATACGTTCGCCTGGAGCGACCTCCCACACAATACTTGACTGCACTAACAGTACACCGTCCGTGAGCCGCACGGCGCGGAGGGCACGTTCACACGCGGCGACATCTGCCGGCTGCTGCACAACGTTGTTGAGGAGCAGCGCGGCCATCGCCCTTGCACTGGCGACGGCGCGAACGGCGGTGTGTGCGGCGAGCAGCAGAACAGCGACGAGGGCCCACAGCGGCTGGCCGCCCATCCACAGAATGAGACACGACACCACGCAGACGAGTGGACCGGCTGCGCGGGCGGCGGCCACCTGCAGTGAAGACCATAAACTCCTGCGGGCCGCATTAGCATTCGCAGCGGGATGAACCCCAGTGGGACTCACAGTCGTCTCTTTACGGGTGTTAGACGAGCTAGTCGTGTTCGTCGTGTTGGCGAAGCTTGACCTCAACGCGGTGAGAGTGCGGGGCTGTCCACTGATGTGATCATAGGCGTCGATCTCCGCTGCGTAGTACGTGAAGAGGAGAACGTGGGCGATGCCCACTGTGAGAAGCAGCAGCGGCGAGGTGTCCGGCGGATGCAGGGCGTGGTGAAGAGACTCGCCAATTAACGCAAGGCAGCCAAAGACAACGAACACAGCAGCACCAAAACAAATCAATACATGAAGTCGATTAACCCCAAAGCAAAACCCCTCAGTTATCTCGGCAGCAACAGATACCCTCAATGGAGAGGTTTCCCTGGATTTTACGCGATTATTACCGCGTGGCGTTACTTGCAGACTTTTTGTCCCCACCTTCTCTGGAAGAGTCAAACTACTACTGCTATAGTGGTGCAACATTGCAGCTCCAGCAAGTGATACCCAGACATTAAATACAATATATGCATTAACGTTGAGAACCAAAGATTCACAATAAATGCTTAAAAATAAATCAACTATCCAAAGTATAAAAAAAACTATGCTAATGTGACGTAGTCTGCCCACATAAGGTTTTACCTTAAGCGTAAAAAAACTCACTGCTTCCCATATCATTGTTTCTTATTTTTTCTTTCTTTAAACCAAGGGTACTCAGACGCAAACAATTCAAGAAAAACAAAAAGAGAAAAACTACGAAGAAGAACTACAAAATACAAATACAACAATAAACCAAAATCATTTTATTAATATTATCATTCTTATCTAGGAATGCATATTTCCTTCATTCTATACGACAAACCAGCAAAACACTCGTTTTAACTCTCTTGCACTTTACTTTCAACAATTTATTTTCATGTCTCTTGACTCTATTCAGAATGACAAAAAGTGTAAAAAAAAAAAACACAAATTCCCATACACTACAAGGAAGAGTGATCGTCAACGTGACGTGCGCGCTTCAAATTGCCTGTAGAAAGCAACGGAACAAGATGTGACATTCCCGCATCAACCAAAGCTGTTCTTATATCTTGCGAAGAAAGTGTTACACGCTTGACATTCACACGAGACCGTGAATCCTCAGCGAGACAGGCAATGTACATCAGAAACACAGCCGCTGATTTTTGAAGAGCCACACGAGCGTCCTTCGATATATGCATACCATTTGGCAAGGCAGAAGCCACAACACGATCAACTTGTCCAGCAGCAAGACTTCGCACCTTCACTGGCGCAGGTATAGTAGACTGCATCTCTTGTTTTTCCTCCAAAACAACCCCTGAATTAACGATAGCATTGTTACATGGAGTGTCCAGAGATGGAGCATCTCCGCTATTCACAGAAGCATCACCCATAATGCTTGTCGATCACTACCCCTAAATAATAAGAATAATAAAAAAATAAAAAGAAAAAAAATAAATAACAAAGACCAAACACTCTGTTTACACAGGCACGTTAACATCATTACAACAGCTAGTGGAGAAGTGAAGCCATCACAATAGGAAACCAGAGAGAGAGAGAGAGAGGAGGGATATGCAAAGAGGGTAATTAATCCCACAGGGAGCATCAGCCATTACTTTAAACGGAGTTCCATCGTCAATGGTGTCTCGGATTGAAGGGCTAACTTCATGAACAATGTATAGTCATCATAAGCAGGGGCAGGTTATCGACTGGCGCTTCTTCGTCACCGCTATCACAGAGTGCAGCTACGGATAATTTAGGCACACTCTGTTTACACAGGCACGTTAACATCATTACAACAGCTAGTG